GAGAGAGAGAAAGAGAAGGATCAAATTATCAAAATCAGAAATGGAAAAAAAATACTAGTAGAGCTCCTACAGACATTGCAAATATAACTAAGGGGTATTAAAAATTTTTTTTCTGTAGGTCAAAATGCATCATTTTAGAAGAAATGGACAGATTTCCTTATGAAAAATACAATTTACCAAATCTCACATAAGAATAGATAATCTCAATAGTCTTCTATCTATTGAAGAAAATAAACCCATTATTAAAAACCTCTCCACAAGGAAAAGCAAAAGTTGCCAAATATAAGAGTATATACTATATAATGCTATTATTTATGAAATTCAAGAATAAATAAAGCTAACCTATCATAACAGAAGTCAGAATAGTAATTATGTTTTCTGGGTGGTAGAGGGTAAGGGTGAAAATCACTAGAGCAAAAAATTAGGGAAGATTGTAAAGCGCTGATAACATTCTTTGTCTCGAGCTCAGCAGTGATTCATGATGAGTGTTCACTTGGTAAAACTCCAATAAGACGTAAACTTGGTATTTGTGAACTTTTCTGAACGTACATTACACTTCAATGAAAAATTTTACTTCTAAAAATTCAGGCATGGGAGATAATAGAGGAGAAAAATGGAGACGGCCATGGGTAAGGTGATGCCTTTTTAGACATAACACCAAAGGCACGATCCATGAAAGATATAACTGATGAGCTGGACTTCATTAAAATTAAAATGTTCTGTTCTACAAAAGGCAATGTCAAGAGAATGAGAAGACAAGCCACAGACTGGGAGGAAATGTTTGCAAGGACTGATACTCAAAATATACAAAGAACTCTTAAAATTCAACAATAAACAAGCCAATGAAAAGGAGCCAAAGACCTTAACAAAACTCTCAGCAAAGAAAATACAGATGGCAAATAAGCATATGAAAAAATGCTCCACACCCTATGTCCTCAAGCAAATGCAAATTATGTAACAATAAGATACCACTAACCACCTATGAGAATGGCCAAAATCTAGAACAGGGGCAACATCGAAAGGTGGCAAGGAACTCTCACCGCAGGACCTCTGATTCATGGCTGGTGGGGATGCAAAATAACACAGCCACTTTGGAAAACAGCCTGGTGGCTTCTTACAGAACTTAACACACATTAACAAGTGATCTAGCAATTACACTCCTTGGTACTTATCCAAGGGAGTTAAAAACTTTGAAATTCTTGAAAAGTCAAAACTATGGAGACAGCAGAAAGATCAGTGATCGCCAGGATTGGAGGATGAGGGGGTCGGGAGCGAAGAGGGATGAATAGGCAGAGGACGATTTTTAGGACAGTGAAAATGATACTAAATCCCCTATGATACTAAAGGGGTGCTTACATGTCACTGCGCATTTGTCCAGACCTGTAGAATGTACACCAAGAGTGAATCCTAATGAAAACTACAGACTTGGGGTGATGATGAGGTGTCAGTGTGGGTTCATCAACGGTCATAAACGTACCACTCGGGTGGGGGGTTGCTGATAGTGAGGAAGGCTGTACCTAGGTGGGGGCAGGAAGGATACGGGACATCTCTTTATCTTCCTCTCAA